GGGTTTGTAAACACAGAGTTTAAATTTCCATATTGTAGCACAAGTACATGATTTCAAGAGGCTCCTTAACATTGTTAAAAAGGTTCAGAGCTGGCAGGTGGTGTGGTGGTTAAGGTTGCTGCACTCCCACATGGTCAACTGTTGTTCGAGTCCCAGACCTGGTGGCTTGTTTTCTCACTTTCCCTTTCTCTCTCTCTTTCTCTCTCTCACTCTGTTCTTCACTGGTCAAATGAAAAAAAATAGGCAAATAATTAAATAAAGTTAAATAAAATAATTCTTTAAAAATGAAGTCTGGAGACCTCTCTATACCAGGCACATATGTGCCCATGATTTGGGCTGGCTGAAGTAGGGGGTAAGTTGTGGTGTCAAGACCCTGTTGGAAGTCCTGTATGTCTGTCTCTCTGTCTCTTTTGCTCATGAAAGAAATAAAGTTTTAAAAATTGAACAAAAAGAATATTCAAATTATTTGAAAAATTAATAAAGGTAGTATTCAACTTTTCAGACTTTTGTTATATGCTTGGGTGAGAATTTCTTGTAGTAGTAGATGGTGATTTACTTAGACAACTTATAGAACCACCTGCAAAATACAATGTTTCTAAGGCAAAGAGACTTTCATTTTGAATGCTAATACTTCATTAATCGGAGTCTTTCATCCTCCTTGGGCCACAGGTAACTCTGATAACTTGGGTCTGAACATTACATAATTGGGAGAGCAGAGCCAGGGTTAAGGCACTAAAAAGCTCAATAATTAGTGCTCGATGTTGTAGCCTTTGCTCACTTTTCAGTCGGACTTTGACAGGTTAACACTTCTGTTTCCTTTCGTCACAGAGATTAAGGATGCCTACTTCCCTTCCATTCAAGCACCTATGCCCTCAAGAAGGGTAATGAGGGAACCAGCAGTTAGTGTAATGGCTATGTTGCTGGACTCCCATGTAGTCGACCGCGGGTCGCGTCCCGGACCCGGTGGCTTAAAACTCACACCGGGCGCATGTGCACTCGCTTTCTGTCTCTCTGTCTCTCTCTGTCTGTCTGGTGAGCACACATGCCCTATAGTGAAAACCTCTCCCCCAAAAAAAAGATAAAAAGAAGGGTAATGACTGGGTGGGAAGGAAAAGGGCATTTTCCCTGCTGTCTACTTGATGTGTGCAAAAAGCCTGGCAAGAATTTTAACTTGCAAGAATGGGGGAGCATAAGAAGGCTCAAAGGCTACCCCAAAAACAGTTATTCCACATACTTTTCCCCCTTGCCAAATGGAAAAACAGTGTGGTAGCCAGATAGTAATGGGATACACAAGTAAGTTATAAGGGAAGAAAGTTTGTACTAGCATGTGAATTTCATTGTATAGACGTTCTTTGGTGAAAAGATAATTTTGCATGGTGAAGCGGAAAGAAAAAAGGCAAAGGGTACAGAAAAAGACCAAAGCAAAGAAAATCACCACTAGACATTCACAGAAGACATTCTTGGGGATTCCTAAGAGCATTCGGAGTTACTACTAGCAACCAGTACTCTGAACGAGAGTGCTGTGGTCTCTGGACCTGCTAGCTGAAGAAAGGGTTCCAGCTCTTCAGCCCGGAACTTGGTGGATGAATTTGGAATTGCTGATTATTACAGTAAAAGAAGTCTGGATAAAATATCTGGAAGCTGAAGTCTTTATTGACAGAATCAACAGAACATTTGTGGTAGCAGAGCGGGACACAGTATTCTGCCACAATTTCTGACGCTCAGATTAGATAGATCTATCTGAACACGGCTCCTCCTAATCCCTTCAGCTTTGTCTGATAATGATTATTTGTACAGAGGTGTTTGTAGATTGAAACTATTTCACTCATATCATTCTTCTTTATGCAGCTTTTGGAGACAAATAGTTTGGTTCAAATTTTTGAAAAGTGATAGGCTAAAAGCTAGAAAAACAGTTAACAGAAAGAAGCTTAATATTATTCATTCTCCTCTTTGAACATCTTACTTAAGTGCTTTATCAGAGCTGTTAGCTCAGGGTTCCCACCCCATGCAATAGTTTGTTTATAGGCTTTAGATTCAAGCTCTTCAAGAGTATTCCGGTGTACCAAAAAGAACCTACATCCTCAAGATATTGTACAAATTTTTTTTTTTAATATCTATGTTTTCTGCTCTCTGGTGCAAGATATTCGGTACCTGGGTGCTCTCAGGCCTTGACCAAATAACATGAATAGTTGGGAATGAACATTTTCTCTCTGTTAGATCCTCACAAAAACTTTTGTTTTCACTATTTTCTTTAGGGTGTAGATGGGCATAATCATCCCTAATTTGGAAAAAGAGCCCACGTATATTTAGTCATGGCTTTAGGTCTTCTTTGTAATCAGAGAACAACTGTGTGAGGCCTACTGCCAACCGGAACAGCTCCCCTGTCTTCTGCAGCCACAAGGGTTTATATTCTTCTTCAGTGGGACAGGTGTAATTATCCCGCCAGTAACTATCCAGGCCTCGTCCGTGATGAAGTTTTAAAAGCTGGTGGGTTAAAAGCTTTGTTGCATCTGGGTGATCAAAGGTTAAAATTTTCTCCAAGTCAAGAAAATATACACAATTGATGGAACTGGTGACAGAGGGAATTCCATATATGCTGTGTGCCACTGGAAAGACACGACAAAGTTTTGAGTTGTCTTCCATATGGTCGGTGAGTAAACTGGCATTATGCAACATTTCCATCACTTCAAACCTCTGGAACTTTTAACCAATGATGAAATGCCTGTGAAAGTTTGGTTCTCACTTGTTTACCCAGTAACTAGAGTAAATACTTGTAGGGTTCTAGAAGAATCTTAAGTCTTCAGAAATTAAAGTAAAATATTAAAAATAGAATAAAATTTTAAAAATAAAATTAAAAACTGATCTACTCCGGACGCTTCCCTTCCTGTCTTTGAACGCTCCCACAACTGCATCGCACCCACTGCGAGGGCTTTGCTTTCGCCAGTCTGCCGCCTAGGGCTCCCTCCAGGTGACACCCATGCAGGATGATCCAGAGCACCTCTGACAAAAACTGCACTGGGGCATCGCGCACCACAAACCAATGCAATCCGAAGAAAGGCTGGCTTCTGACTTGCTACATGGACACATAAGCGGAATGACCCAGCCCTGCACCCAGACTGTGGCCAGTGCGCCAACATTTCTTTCTTTCATGAGAGTGAGAAACAGACAGAAACAGAGAGAAATTTTTGCATTTTTGCTCAAATTTTTAATCTGCTGATCTGCCCTGTGGATTTTGGGTTTGCCAGCCCCTATGATTACTGCATAAGCCAAATTCTTAGAATCTCCCTCTCCCAACCCACATACACTCACATGTGTGCATGCATAGATATGCACACATCTATGCTGGGCAGTGTCCTCGCGCCTCGATCTCCTTCCCCGAATCCTCCAGCTAGTCTGGGTTTTGGGTGTGCATGCTCTGGACATGTTTCAGGTCTACTTGGATTCTGAACTCTTCCCACACTGCAGAGTAGCACCTGACTGTCTGGACTACAACAGTTGGGCTAATATTTAAAGATTTAAATGGAAGACTTAACAATGTACTATTATAAATATCTTCTCAGATAGATTTACTTTGCTTACAGGTCTAGATGCTTTAGATTCAAGGAAATAGCACATTATAAGATGTTTAGAATATGTTGTCAGAAAATTTGGAGAAGAGGGTCCAGTTGGCCACTAGCTGGTGATCTTCCTTAAGTTTTTCGTCTATGTTTTACTCAGCTACATATTGTGTTAAAAATAAGACTATTTTAAATATTTATATCTAATCAAATAAGAAACATTGTTACAGTAGAAAGTGACTTAATTTGTTCAAATGAATGTTTTTTTAATTTTAAATTTATTCATTTTCTACATTAATTCACTATACACCATCACAACACACAAATGAATTTTCCATCCAAAATACGCTGTGCATTGGCTCAATCAAGCACATCAACATACATGTTCTCAGCAAATAATTTTCCAATTCTTATGTCCTGCATACCTTGCCTTTTGTTTTGCCATCCTTGATTCCCCATCCCCCACCCTCTGTCAAATGAATGTTTTGATTATGTATTGAGTATCAATTGTGATTTTTTTCTTAGTGATTACATGGACACTTCTAATTACTAGGTAAAATAAAGATAATTTAAATTTCAAATATTTTAAAAATACCCAATGAATAGGTAACCTCATTTATAACCCTAATTTGAAATTCCTGCTTGGTAATAATTTTGAGAAAAATTCTATTCTTTTTTTTTTTAACAAAATGGCTGTATTTAACTAATAAATATTTTGAAACATATAACAAACTTGGTCCTTTTTTTACTCATTAGCTGTCAGAAGGCTTAAAGGAATCTGTGATTCACTCATTGCCAGTTGTATTTGTATTCATGGTAAGTAATATTTAACTTCATTACTGCATCATAAATTAAAAAAATGGTAAGTCAGACTTAGCAGGAATCTGACTCTACTACTTGTAAGATAGCATGGCCAAGTTATACAATGTTTTTCAGATTCTGTTTACTCATCTACTAAATAATGATAAAGTAGTGAATATTTATGTTATGAAAAAATGTAATAGACTATATATGTGTCTATATACATATTTGTCCTATTCTTATAACTTAGTAAGCATATAATAAATATCAGCTATTACTTATGTTTATTATACAACTCTGTGTATATATTTTTCTTTTTTAGTACACTCAGCAGTCATTTTTGTTATTCTCACCTGTCTTATATTTTTATCATTTGGTTTCAAAGTTATATTAAAGTGCATTTTTGAGAACAATATGCTATGAAAAGAAAAAGTCATAATTTAGAGGAAGTTTTCTGATATCTCTGTTAAAATCATCCCCAAACTACAGATAGACTCAACATTGTATGTCAATACGCACTGTTGCTTGAATATCTTTATAATGACATCCCATGTGTGAATGAAAATGGAACTACCAAATTTGTAACTTTTTTTAATGTAATGTTTTCGTTACAGGTTCCTTGTGGTAGAAGCTTTGTTGTCTATGGATTCCTTAGTGGATGGAAACCACACTGTTGTAACAAGATTTGTTTTATTGGGCTTAACAAGTAATATACTCCTTCGGGTCATCCTCTTCGTGATCATCCTGTGCATCTACCTGGTGACCATATTTGGCAATCTCAGCACAATAATTCTGATCAGAACCTCTTCTCAGCTCCAACATCCCATGTACTTTTTCCTATCCCACTTGGCTTTGGCAGACATAGGGTCTACATGTAATGTCACACCCAATATGCTTGTAAACTTCCTGGTGGAGAGAAATACAATCTCCTACTTTGGATGTGGCTTCCAGCTTGGTGTAGCCGCTTTCTTTGGGGCAACGGAGTGCTTCCTTTTGGCTGTCATGGCATATGATCGCTTCGTGGCCATCTGCAACCCACTGCTTTATTCAGCCAAGATGTCCACACAAGTCTGTGTCCAGCTACTCCTATTGTCTTACTTTGCTGGTATTGTCAATGCTTGCTCCTTTGGCACTTGCATGTTCTCTTTAGTCTTCTGTGGACCAAATGTAGTCAATCATTTTTTCTGTGATTTTGCTCCTTTAGTTAAACTCTCCTGTTCTGATGTCAGTATTCCTACATTTGTCACCTCATTTATTGCTGGCTTTATTGTTTGGGTTGCTGTGGTTGTCATAGCTATCTCCTACATCTATATCCTCATCACCATCCAGAAGATGTGCTCCACTGAGGGGTACCACAAGGTCTTCTCCACTTGCACCTCCCACCTCACTGCAGTCACTCTGTTCTATGGGACCATTACATTCATTTATGTGATGCCCGAGTCCAATTACTCAACTGACCAGAACAAGGTGGTGTCTGTGTTCTACACAGTGGTCATCCCCATGTTGAACCCCCTCATCTATAGTCTCAGGAATAATGAGTTCAAGGGGGCTCTGAAGAGAGAGCTTAGTAGAAAAATATTATCTTTGTGACAGCTGCGATTTTTGTAGGATTTTACACAATAATATTCTTAAATACAATAGTAAAAGAAAAGTGTATGTCCATTACTGAAATACATCGCTTCATATGTGTATCACTAGCTGGTATGGGTACGAAGTGGATTTTTAGATTAGGAGCCTTGTATAGTTGCCTTTAATAAATAAAATTTGTCATGTAGAAAAACAAATGAGTTACATGAGATAAAATATGAAGTTTTTTTTGGAGAGATTTTTGCTATTATAGGGCGTGTGTGCTCACCAGAGAGATAGAAAGAAAAACAGAATTCACTCCTGAGCGGGGAGGGCTACACTGCAATCCCTTCTCTTCCATCCTCCTCTCAGGATTTTGGGCACACACACCAGTTTGAGGTTTAAGCCACTGGATCTGAGACTCAAACAGTAGTTAACTACATGACAGTCCAGCGATGTAATCATTGCGTCATCTGCTGGTCCCCAAAATATAATAGTTTAAAAAAGTTATATTCATATTCGTTTACAAAAGTAGTTCTTTGTTATAAGTTGAGGTTATTGTACTTCCAAATATTTAAGACTATGTCCATTTTTCAACAGCAGATCATCCTGAAATGTATGTGATAACTGAGTTATGACGGGGTACATCCTGAGAGGAAATGACAAAGTGGATTTGGACAATAAAATGGCTGGACATGCTCTTTTTGTTGTAAGGTTATTGTTGAGGATGGGTTTTGTGGATACATAAATTCTGGTGTGTATTTCTGGTCTCTTGCCTTTGCCCTTGCATATAGAAGTTCCCACAAAAGGAAAGGATGAGAGATGTCCTGACACACCTGTGAATTCTTGTCAGGTAAAAGAGGTGATTTTCCTCTTTAGGAACTCTTCATGTGCTGAGTAGAACATACCGTTGGAATAATTTGTTCTTGTTCACCCCACATCCTGCTATGGATGCCTGAGGTAACGGGATTGTTTCTCTCCTGAGAAATTTAATTTGCCTTTATATGATGATGATTGCCACATTTATCTATCTGTCTCTCTTTTCTCTTTCATATCCAACTCGCTCTCCTCCACTGAGGAAACCATTATTAAATCAGTTTCTGGATTCAGAAACCAGGGTATTGTATTTCTCTGTCCCCATTTATACTCTTATATTCAGCCACAAAGTTTTATATTTTCTGAGTTTGCTATTTCTTTACCACGTCTCTTTATACTCATTGTAAGCACTTTTATTTCAAACTATCACCTTATTTTTGTTTTACAATAGTATGCCTAAGATGGCAAATGTTGTGTGTCAACTTGGGTAGGACATGGTACATAATTGTTTGGTCCAAAAGTGGCCCAGATGCTGGTTTGAAGGTATTTCTAAGATTATCATTGAAATAGTACCCACTGATGAAAGAAAAGGACCCTCCCACAGTATAAATGAGCTTTGTCCAGTCAGTTGAGGCCTTAAGACCAAGAGGTATCAGCAGATGGCATAGTGGCTATGTTCAGTGACATGTAGTCAACCACAGTTTGAGTCCCAGAACCGGTGGCTTAAACTCACACCAGGTGTGTGTGCATGCATGCCCAAGATCCCAAGAGGAGAATGGAGGAGAAGGGATTGCAGTGGCCTTCCCCCTGCTTTCTGTCTCTCTGTCTCTCTCTGTCTTTCTGGCAAGTGTGTGCACCCTATAGTAAAAAATCTCTCTCAAAGAGAGAGAGAGAGAGAGAGAGAGAGAGAGAGAGAGAGAGAGAGAAGACTGAGGTCTCCTTAAGAAGAAATTCTGCCTCTAGACTGCTTTGGACTCTAGTCTGGAATGTTATGTTTGGCCAGAATTTTTAGTCTGTTGATCTGCCATGTGGATTTTGGGTTTGCCAATTCCTACAATTATTGCATGAACCAAATTCTTAAAATCTCCCTCTCCCCATCCCCATACATGAACATGTATGCACATGCATACATACACACACATCTATGTACAATATTGGTTATGTTTCTCTGAAGAATCCATGCTAGTATACAACCCCTTGGCACATCTCCTCTTCTGTCTCATGCTCTTTTAATTTATATTTAACATGGCCATAAAGATAAATAGATTAGTTGCTTCATTAAATCTTCCAAAGTTCTTAGCATGGAGGCAACGATTCTGAACGTGGTTTACAAGGTGTTGTATATAGCCCCCATTTTCTTTACATCTCTCATCACAATTCCCTTTGGTCCCAAGGACACAAACTTTTGGGACAAACCATTTGGTTTTCTCTGAAACATGCCTTCATTTTGTTACTTCATGACTCCTCAACATGTACTGCCTCTACCCAAAATGTGTTTTCCCCATACCTGAGAGATGCATTCTTATGCTGCAGGTACTAGCATAAATGTTTTGTCCCATTATTTCAAAAGCCCGGTGGCTTAAACTCACACCAGGTGTGTGTGCATGCATGCCCAAGATCCCAAGAGGAGAATGGAGGAGAAGGGATTGCAGTGGCCTTCCCCCTGCTTTCTGTCTCTCTGTCTCTCTCTGTCTTTCTGGCAAGTGTGTGCACCCTATAGTAAAAAATCTCTCTCAAAGAGAGAGAGAGAGAGAGAGAGAGAGAGAGAGAGAGAGAGAGAGAAGACTGAGGTCTCCTTAAGAAGAAATTCTGCCTCTAGACTGCTTTGGACTCTAGTCTGGAATGTTATGTTTGGCCAGAATTTTTAGTCTGTTGATCTGCCATGTGGATTTTGGGTTTGCCAATTCCTACAATTATTGCATGAACCAAATTCTTAAAATCTCCCTCTCCCCATCCCCATACATGAACATGTATGCACATGCATACATACACACACATCTATGTACAATATTGGTTATGTTTCTCTGAAGAATCCATGCTAGTATACAACCCCTTGGCACATCTCCTCTTCTGTCTCATGCTCTTTTAATTTATATTTAACATGGCCATAAAGATAAATAGATTAGTTGCTTCATTAAATCTTCCAAAGTTCTTAGCATGGAGGCAACGATTCTGAACGTGGTTTACAAGGTGTTGTATATAGCCCCCATTTTCTTTACATCTCTCATCACAATTCCCTTTGGTCCCAAGGACACAAACTTTTGGGACAAACCATTTGGTTTTCTCTGAAACATGCCTTCATTTTGTTACTTCATGACTCCTCAACATGTACTGCCTCTACCCAAAATGTGTTTTCCCCATACCTGAGAGATGCATTCTTATGCTGCAGGTACTAGCATAAATGTTTTGTCCCATTATTTCAAAAGCCTTCTTGAGGTTCCAGACTAAAGTCAGTATACTTGTTATCCCCCCCTAGAAAAGGCTGGGTATTTTCTTAAGATATACATGCACTTGGGAACCAGCAGTTAGCGTAATGGCTATGTCGCTGGACTCCCACGTAGTCGACCGCGGTTCGTGTCCCGGACCCGGTGGCTTAAAACTCACGCCGGGCGCGTGTGCGTGCGTGCCCAAGATCCCGAGAGGAGAATGGAGGAGAAGGGATTGCGGCGTGACCATCCCCCCTGGGGGGTGATTTCTCGCTTTCTGTCTCTATGTCTCTCTCTGTCTGTCTGGCGAGCGCACGCGCCCTACAGTGAAAAATCTCTCAAAAAAAAAAAAAAAGATATACATGCACTTGTAGTTGCAGATTCAATGTTTGTTTTCTCTCCAATGATGGAAGATCCATGTGGAAGCTACAATGTCTTCCCTTTTCACTTATGGATCTAATTTTTACATAGTTCCTGGACCATCATGAGCACAAATACATATTTGATATGAAGGACAGAAAAAAAAGTAATGATATAATGGATGGTGAATGAAACATTTGCTCTTGCTTAAACCAATGACTACACTGGCTCTGAATCCTGGTTCCTGATCTATTGAATGCTTCAGCCTGATTCAAGTGTTGAATGTTTGGGTGAAACCCTGCTATACTGTGATGGGCTTTTGTACTGACACATACACACCACATCTATACCAGTGACTTGACACTGTTATCACCCAGCCTTGATTACTACAGGTTTTGTAATTGGATTCCATTGAATAAATTTCACTCTATGTATTTGCATGGTTGGAGATCTAGAAGACCTAGAAGTCAAAGTCCATAATAGGAGTAACAATAATAGTAAGAGTACTAGCAATGGCAGCAGATGATGAAATTTTTCACAACATATATAGTAAGCTATATAGCTTACTGCAGTCATTAACTAGGTATTTTGTAATATGTATTTTTAATTTCAAGAAAGATAGTTTTAGCTTTAATAAATAAAAATTTAAAAAACGTTAAGAGAACTTTGCTTAAGACTTAAAGCCAGGATACAGGTTAGGATTCTGTTCAAATAGTAGTTACATGGATCTGTCGACAAGTCAAGAGAAAACAAAAATCCTTGTCTCTGGAGTACAAAGCATAGAAAAAGATCAGTATTGTTTTAGTCAAAAGCCATAAAATTCTATTTCACCGGCTCAGTCTCAGGTACTTAATCTAACTTCTGGTGTGGTCCTATCTTTCCACTTAAATTCTGGAGCTAAAATTCAACTCCGGACTTGTCCATATCATTAAACTGGCCCTTTTCTTAGAAGTTTTTTAACTCTTATTTCTGTGTGTCCGACTAGTTTTCCTGATATAGCACTCCCTTCAGAACTTCTTAGAGAGCTAGTCTGGCATTAGTAAATTCTTTCAGGTTTTGTTTATCTGAGAATGTTCTGGTCTTCTCTTTCCATATGAAGGATAATCTTGCTGGGTATAGTATTCTTGGTTAAAATTGTTTTTCACTCAACACTTTGAATATATTTTCCCATTCTCTTCTTTCTTGCATTGTTTCCAATGAGAGGTCTGATATCTTCTGTAGGTAACTTTCATTTCTCTCTTGCCAGTCTTAATATCTTGTCTTTGTCTGTGGTTTTGGTCAATCTGGGTATAATGTGTCTTTGAGAAGATCTTCTTGGGTTGATTCTATTTGGGATCCTTTGTATTTCTTGGGTCTGGATCTTTGAATGCCTCTCTAGGTTCTAATCCTCCCTGTAACAACAAAGCACTGTGAAGCATCTCT